CAGATATTTAATCCTCAGAACACATTTGAAGTTGTTAACGTCTGTATGATGATATTAAATGTCTATCTTAGTTGGAGCAGTGTTTGAACTCACAGGCTGCTGTCTCCATGACGACCGGACACAAGAGGCGTTGCACGTGATCCGAAAGTCTCCATCGGTGCAGACTCGCTGGTGGAGGGTTTTATAACCCACTACCACTCCCCGCTAGTTGGTTTGGGACGGACTTAATATGGAGGACCCTCCACGAGGACGCACAAACAGAGGGGAAGTGGGGAGGGAGAGGGTGTAGTGACCGGTTTGAAACAGACCCCTAGACAGAGGGTGACTTCCTGGTGAGGGTGGGGCTTGACAGAGGGTGACTTCCTGGTGAGGGCGGGGCTTGACAGAGGGTGACTTCCTGGTGAGGGCGGGGCTTGACAGAGGGTGACTTCCTGGTGAGGGCGGGGCTTGACAGAGGGTGACTTCCTGGTGAGGGCGGGGCTTGACAGAGGGTGACTTCCTGGTGAGGGTGGGGCTTGACAGAGGGTGACTTCCTGGTGAGGGCGGGGCTTGACAGAGGGTGACTTCCTGGTGAGGGCGGGGCTTGACAGAGTGATCAGAGCGATGTGTTCACGTACACAGCTCACCGTAGTCTGAAGCCAGTTTCTGATTCAATTATAATTTAAGTATAAAATCAGCGAGGTAAACAGGCGATCATGTGACCTTGTTGTTGTTGTCCAGATGGTGGGCGTGGCCATGATCATCTCCCATCACGGCTACAACCCTAAAACCAAAGAGTGCGACCTCGCCCTGGTGAAGCTGCAGCAGCCGCTCGTCTTCAACAGCCTCGTCAGACCCATCGACGTCTGGAACAGCCCCCTGACCCCCAACAGGAAGTGCACCATCACGGGGTGGGGCTCCACCCGAGAGAGTAAGAGTCCTTTAACCCCTTCACTCAGGTGGAGGTGATACATACAGCAGCTGATTGCCATGGAAACGGGAGCTTCATGTAACCATGGTTGCATGCAAACGGGAGTGAAAGTGTGCAGGGGGAATGTGGTCATCGGGTTCTGGTGAAGTTAATAATCAACGTGGACTCAAACTTGTTTTTAAATGTATCAACAATCTGGCCCCTGAACCTCTCTCCAGATGTGTTCAAAGACAGGACAGAAACAGGGTAACAAGAAGCACTGTGAAAATGTAGCATACAACGTGGTAGATCTACGTTTGGTCAATCATTCTTCTCCAAAATTAATCTTGGACTTTTTACAAAACAGGTGAAATGCTCAAAGCAAACCAGAGCTGTACCCACTTTTAGTATCTTAAAACATATAGCATTTGTATTGTTGTACATGTATTTTAATGTATCCTCAGAGTGTTATGGGGTTTTATGTAATTGAATGTTTTACATTTTAATCTGTGTGTTTACACAAAGGCCCGACTGGGGACTCGAGTTGGAAATTAGCAACAGCTCTATACTCTTTATGCAGCACATCAGTTTCATGCTTTGCATTGAAATTATGTTAAATTGCATTGTTCTTATTAAAATAAATTCAATAACTAATGTGTCCTCTGGTTTTCCTCAGACGGTCCTCGAGTCAACAGACTGCAGGAGGTGAACGTGACCATACTGCCAACCGACGTCTGTAACCGGCTCTACCTGGGAAGAATGAAACCCACCATGTTCTGTGCCGGGAAGGAGGGGGGCGGAGCCGACGCCTGTCAGGTTTGGACAACTTCCAGCGCTGATAAAAAAGAAGTCTCCATACACTGCTGTCCCTCCTGTTTGTCTGTAACACGGTCTAGTTCCTGTCTCTAACCTGGTCTGGTTCTTTTGTCTCAGGGGGACTCTGGTGGTCCTCTGTCCTGCTTCACTGGAAGCAAATATGAGCTGGCAGGTTTGGTGAGTTGGGGGGTCGGTTGCGGACGAGCCAGAAAACCAGGAGTCTACACCAAAGTGCAGCAGCACACCGACTGGATGTTCGAGGTCCTGAGTGAGTCTGGGGGGGGGTTGTGGTCTCTGACAGGTCGGGGGTGTGTGTACCTAAACAAGCTGAACAGTTCCTGTTTCTTTTCACAGAAGACTCAAACGGTCCACACACAGATGACGCCAGCCTTGAAGGTTCTTACATTCAACTTATTTCATTTTATTTTTTAAATCTTGCTCTAATCAGCTGCTCGGACATGTTAGTAGAAACTCACCTCCAGCTCTGTGTCGCATCCTTACTGTTTGTTCACTGGACTTTCTCTTCTTCTTTATTTTTACAGAGGACATGTGTGGGCAGCAGCAGAGGAGCTCCAGCTGTCAGCGGGCTCCAGGACTCGCTGCTCTCTTAACATCCAAGAGCGGTGAGTTGTCTGTGGGGAACGTCTCTGAGTCCTGCCCCTTCTCCTGGCCCTGGCAGGTCAGCCTGCAGTCCGCCGGAAACCACTACTGCAGCGGAGTCCTGATCCACCACCGCTGGGTGCTCACCGCCAAACACTGCAACGTCAGGTAAATACTAATAATACTATGAAGCTGTCAGTGTCTCTGGTCTACCAGAATCCTCTCTGCCAGTCTGACTGCAGGACTCTGGTTTTTGTCCCTGTAGAGCCAAAGAGGACGTGGCGGTCCTCGGAGTCCATGACCTCCGCTTCTCTTCTCAAAGCGTCCCAGTAGAGAAGGTGTTCGACATGAAGGAGGACGGCAGCTTCCCCCCAAAGTCTGACCTGTCTCTGCTCCGCCTCAGCGTGCCCGCCAGATTCAGTTAGAACACCTGACATTCAAAGCTTTTACTTTGAAGGATCACTTCCTGTATGTTGTTTGAAATAGACTTTAACAGTTTCCTCTGGTCTCAGGCTCCAGTGTGTCCCCGCTTTGTGTCCCTGATGAAGACGAGGTCCTGGACAGCAGCTGGTCCTGTGTGACCACCTGCTGGGGATCCACCAAGGCAACAGGTGGTCCACACACCTGTCTGTCTCTCTGCACCTCGCCCACCTGTCTCTCTGCACCTCGCCCGTCTGTCTCTCTGCACCTCGCCCACCCGTCTGTCTCTCTGCACCTCGCCCGTCTGTTTCTCTGCACCTCGCCCGTCTGTCTCTCTGCACCTCGCCCACCCGTCTGTCTCTCTGCACCTCGCCCACCCGTCTGTCTCTCTGCACCTCGCCCACCCGTCTGTCTCTCTGCACCTCGTCCACCCGTCTGTCTCTCTGCACCTCGTCCACCTGTCTGTCTCTCTGTCTCTCTGTCTCTCTGCACCTCGTCCACCTGTCTGTCTCTCTGCACCTCGCCCACCTGTCTGTCTCTCTGCACCTCGCCCGTCTGTTTCTCTGCACCTCGCCCGTCTGTCTCTCTGCACCTCGCCCACCTGTCTGTCTCTCTGCACCTCGCCCACCCGTCTGTCTCTCTGCACCTCGCCCACCCGTCTGTCTCTCTGCACCTCGCCCACCCGTCTGTCTCTCTGCACCTCGTCACCCGTCTGTCTCTCTGCACCTCGTCCACCTGTCTGTCTCTCTGTCTCTCTGCACCTCGCCCACCTGTCTGTCCCTCTGCACCTCGCCCACCTGTCTGTCCCTCTGCACCTCGCCCACCTGTCTGTCTCTCTGCACCTCGTCCACCTGTCTGTCTCTCTGCACCTCGCCCACCTGTCTGTCTCTCTGCACCTCGTCCACCTGTCTGTCTCTCTGTCTCTCTGTCTCTCTGCACCTCGCCCACCTGTCTCTCTGCACCTCGCCCACCTGTCTGTCCCTCTGCACCTCGCCCACCTGTCTGTCTCTCTGCACCTCGTCCACCTGTCTGTCTGTCTGTCTCTGTCTCTCTGCACCTCGTCCACCTGTCTGTCGCTCTGTCTCTCTGCACCTCGCCCTCCTGTCTGTCTCTCTGCACCTCGTCCACCTGTCTGTCTCTCTGCACCTCGTCCACCTGTCTGTCTCTCTGCACCTCGCCCTCCTGTCTGTCTCTCTGCACCTCGCCCACCGTCTGTCTCTCTGCACCTCGTCCACCCGTCTGTCTCTCTGCACCTCGTCCACCCGTCTGTCTCTCTGCACCTCGTCCACCCGTCTGTCTCTCTGCACCTCGTCCACCCGTCTGTCTCTATGCACCTCGTCCACCCGTCTGTCTCTCTGCACCTCGTCCACCTGTCTGTCTCTCTGCACCTTGCCCACCTGTCTGTCTTTCTGCACCTTGTCCACCTGTCTGTCTCTCTGCACCTCGTCCACCTGTCTGTCTCTCTGTCTTTCTGCACCTCGCCCACCCGTCTGTCTCTCTGCACCTCGTCCACCTGTCTGTCTCTCTGTCTCTCTGCACCTCGTCCACCTGTCTGTCTCTCTGCACCTCGTCCACCTGTCTGTCTCTCTGTCTTTCTGCACCTCGCCCACCCGTCTGTCTCTCTGCACCTCGTCCACCTGTCTGTCTCTCTGATCTCTGAAGATTTGCCCTCTCTTGTCTTCCTCTGTAGAATCCATCAACCCGGACACGCTGCACCAGGTGGGACTGATTCTGGTCAATCAGACGAGCTGCAGGGAGAAGTGGCCGGGGCTTATTGGTGACTCTCATATCTGCACACACCCTGCAGGCTCCGCCTCCTGCATGGTAACGTCCTTAAAGCAGACAGCTTTCATGATTTAGACTTAGATAAACTAAAGATCACGTTTCAGGATGTTGTTTTCCTCTCGGCAGGGCGACCAGGGAGCTCCTCTGGTCTGTAAGAAGCATGGCGCGTACTTCCTGTTTGGCATGGTCACATGGGGCAGCAGGCAGTGCGATGCAGACAAACCTGCCATCTTTTCTCGAGTGGCAGATTATCACTCGTGGATCACCGAGCTGACTGAAGATGTCTGAATGTTGATTGCAAAATAAAGTTTTATGAAGTTTGATCTTAAATGAGTGAAACAATCTGTGGTTAGCTTTTAGCATCAGCTAGCATCCTTCATATGATTACTCCGGTGAGGTTTGCAGTGTAATGTTAGTCCTGTTTTAGAAACATGACACACAAATCTTTGTCTCTGTACTTTTAATCAGCTTTACATTCACTTACACATGATTCAAAAACATTTCTTTTTTGCAGTTGAGGTATTTTTTATTCTGAAACTTCAGAGTCTCTGAGACCTGGAACCAGCAGCTGTCTTCACGTCCAGCAGAAAAACTGTACAGTCCAGACTTTAGTTTTGGTCATCTGAACGCATCATTAGTGTTGTGCTAGTGGGAGGGAAGGGGGTCGGGTCGGGTCTGGACTCAGAGTTAAGTCCTCAGAGGACACAGCTGCTCTCTGTAAGAGGAGAAGATGATCCCTGTCCCTGTCAGACCGTCGGTCCACACAGGTGTCAGATCTTAGGAAGTTTCCAGCCCATCAGACAGCAGGTCGTACGATCCTCCGTTCACCGCCTCGGGTTTGTCCTCCGCCTGCAAACAGGAAGTCTGAGCTGAGCACAACCAGCTGCTTTCCTCTGTCCACCTCATCTGATTTATTTTATTCAAACCGTTTATAAATAAAGATTTTTTGTTCTTCTGAATGTGCGGACTTACTGCGGCCTCAGGTGAGCCGGACTCTGCAGGTTCATAAACCGGGTTACAGATGCTGCGATTGGTGTCGGGAGGGGGTGGAGCTTCTTCCTCCTCGTCCTGTCAGAGAGGGACGGGGTCAAAGGTCAGACAGGTGGTACTTTTAAGTAACAAGAGATTGAAAACGTATTCCTGTGTGGTTAAATGAGCGTGACCTTGAAGTAGTGAAACCTGAACGGTTTGGTTTTGTGGGCGTAGAATTTATATCCAACGAAGACGAACGCGCCCAGCAGAATGACCAGGACCACGACTCCAACTCCAAGCCCCGCCCTGTGAGCCACCTTCATCTGCTGGACCAATCACAGACAAGGACCAAGTCAAAAAGGAAAACACTTTGAATACTTCATTCATTGAAAATGTGTTTAACTATTAGTCAGAGTGTTAGTATTATTAGTGTGTACTGTGTTTAATGACACCTGTTGGCGAGGGGGCGGGGCTTTCAGCGGCCCCTGGAGAACATGGATGACCCCGTTTGAAGCCTGGATGTCCGAGTCGGTGATGAAGCGGTCGTTGATGTAACGAGACGACTGAGGAGATGAAAAAGTTTTAATTTTTACACGTTTTACAGAAAAGCTGCAAGGATTTAAACATTTTTACGGCATTAAGAAACAGATTCAGACTCATAGGGATGTATGATCCAATCTGTCGCTTTGATTGACAGCAGTCTCAGCCAATCACAGACAGCTCATGCGCTCATGTTTTATATTAAAGGTACAACATGGATGTTCGGCCTTCAGATAAAAATCAGATCATGTGTAGCTCATGTCTGATATGTTGGAGGACTCAGAGTCGCCCTCTAGTGTTTAGAAGCAGCATTAAAATCTGACCAGAGCCGACGGATTCATCTGGTCAGCGACTCCTCGGACGGTCAGACCGCCGACACGAGTTCTGATGCGAGTGCCGTTCTTCAGCTGGACGAGAGGAAGAGCCAGACCCTCGGACAGGTGGAACTCGATGTCCCGCATGGACAGAGTCTGCAGGGACAGGTGGACAGGTGAGGAAAAGGTGTGTTTTTTTTCACCGTGTGAGCAGCAGACGGTGAAGCAGAGACTCACCTGGTTGTCAGGTAGGCCGTCGTTGTCGGGTACGAACAGAGTGGACTGAACGGTCAGGTTGCCGAGTCTCCTCACAAACTGTTTACCTGATTCACTCACCTGAGACGAGTTCAGGATTTGCTGCAGAACAGAACAGAAAAAAAGGTTTGAGAAGGTATTAGTCAGATAAATGGTGGAGACCAAGCTGAAGTTGAACTGTGACTCGGCAGGAAACAAACGGAGACTCACAGAGAAGAAGTTTGAGAAGTTGGGCGTAGATCTGAGGACCTGCAGCAGGTTTCCAACACAGCTGAGACCGTCTCCGACATATCCTGGACTACACTCACACGTCACCTCTGAAACACAGAGAAGGTCAGTCAGCGTCACCCTCTTTTTCAAAAAGTGCCAACTTATTTGTGCAATTAATAAACAATGATTTATCAAATCTTTGGTGTTTAGGATTTGTATTTTTATCGCCGTGGCAACAAAAACATAGCGATATCTTCTGATCTGATGTCTGTACATGTACAGGAGTTGTTTTTATTTACCTGTATAGGAGTTGTTTGTATTTACCTGTACAGGTGTTGTTTGTATTTACCTGTACAGGAGTTGTTTTTATTTACCTGTACAGGAGTTGTTTGTATTTACCTGTACAGGTGTTGTTTGTATTTACCTGTACAGGTGTTGTTTTTATTTACCTGTACAGGTGTTGTTTTTATTTACCTGTACAGGTGTTGTCTGATCTTATCTGATGTCTCACCCTTCATCCGGAAGCAGAAGGTGTCCCAGGTCTCACTCAGGTTCTTCCGTGTCCCGTAGTCCACGATGCCCACATGTCCGAAACCACACTGAGGGCTTGAATAGGTCGTCGGGTACGCAACCCGGGCCGAGTCCAACCAGCCGGCAGCACACAGGTTCAGCCCCCCCTGCAGGAGCCATCAGGAACAGCAGCTTTAGTTTTTACGTGAAGAAGAGGACCAGCAGACAGCAACGACTCAACCAGTGTGTGTGTGTGTATGTGTGTGTGTGTGTGTGTGTGTGTGTGTGTGTGTGTGTGTGTGTGTGTGTGTGTGTGTGTGTGTGTGTGTGTGTGTGTGTGTGTGTGTGTGTGTGTGTTGTGTTCACTGACCTGCTGAGCGTAGGACAGTTGAGTGTATGTAGCGATGCTGCCTCCCTCTGCACTGCAGGCCTGCTGAGCGTCGCTGTAAGTCAGTTTGTACTGACCTCGAACTGAACGGTAGTGAAACACACCAAACTTTGTATCTACACACACACACACACACACACAACAGCAGAAAACACACACATTAAACACACACTCTAGACACACACTTTAAACACAACACAATTCAGTTACCTTCAAAGTGCAGGTCGGTACATTTGGCGTCTTGATGACATTGTCCGTTGTCTTGGAGACAGCGGCTGATTGGCTGCTGTTTGACCTCACAGGTGACTCCGTCTCCGATGTAGTTGTCCTTGCAGGTGCACTTCTTCTTCCCCTGTACACACACACACACACACAGAGTCACATGTTACAATGCTGCACACCTGAGATCCTGAGGAGCGTACCTGAATCAATAACTGTCCTCACCGGAGCCATCATGGTGCATGTGGCATGCTCGTGGCAGCCTCCATTGTCCCCCGAGACGCAGGGGTCGATGGGCAGACAGGTGAAGCCGTCTCCATTGTGACCTTTAGGACACGTGCAGCTCACCTGTTCTCCTACCTGAGAACAACTGGCTCCTTTGGCACAGCCGCCGTTCCACACGCTACAGATGTCCATAACTACAGAGAGAGAAAGAACAGGTGTTTGTATTTACCTGTACAGGTGTTGTTTGTATTTACCTGTACGGGTGTTGTTTGTGTTTACCTGTACGGGTGTTGTTTGTGTTTACCTGTACGGGTGTTGTTTGTGTTTACATGTACAAGTGTTGTTTGTATTTACATGTACAAGTGTTGTTTTTATTTACCTGCACAGGTTAAGCCGTCTCCTTCATAAAATGGCCGACACACACAGGTGTTGTTCTCACGACAGACCGCTTTTGGAGCACAGGACGGAGAACACTCCAGAACCTCAGCTACACAAACACACACACACACACACACACACACACACACACACACACACACACACACACACACACACACACACACACACACACACACACACACACACACACACACACAAGTTGTCATGTTTCACCTGTTCTCTGTCTTTTAACGTACAGACACCTGACCATGGACAGGTGGACGGTTCAGGTTCGAACTCACCCTGGGGGCTCTCACAGCGCTCTCCGGTCCAGCCGGCCTCACAGAAACACACTCCTGTACCTGTCCGTCCCTGGTCACATGACCCGTGTTCTGAACAGTTACAGGCTGAGAAACAGGAAACAAGGCATCAGAAACCTGGTGACATCAAACGGGTAACTGTGTGACCGCTGCTCACCTTTACATCTGCCTCCGTAGAACCCTTCACTGCACAGCTCACAGGCCACGCCCCCAAAACCGACCTCACAGGTACAGGTGCCGTTACCAAGGTGACTGTCGTCACATTTCCCCCGGTTACTGCAGGGAGAGCTGCTGCCGCCGGGACAGGCTGACAGAGAGAGAGATCAGCAGGTGATCGATGTGATGTCATCATGACATCACCATGAACTCATTACATATTCATGATGTCACTGAGCTCATTTAAGTTCTGTCTGCTCAGATGTGTATGGGAGCCGTGTCGGACCACAAAGACAAATTAATGACAAATAAGGAAAACTTAAAATAAAATGTACTTCCAAATTTGCGTGTATTTTTTGTGTTGTGTGTGTATCTTTTGTCTTCTCACCCAGGCAGTCCCGTCCGTAGTAACCATGACAACACTTTGGCTTCAGGAAGCTGACCGTGCAGATGGTGCGACAGCCCGTGTTTTTAGTAATTAACAATGACGGCAGGTCGCACTTCTGGACCTCCTAACACCAGAGAGACACATAGAGCTGGTTTATGATGAACAGATGATCACTCTGATCAGACAGAGCTGGTTTATGATGAACAGATGATCACTCTGATCAGACAGAGCTGGTTTATGATGAACAGATGATCACTCTGATCAGACAGAGCTGGTTTATGATGAACAGATGATCACTCTGATTAGACAGAGCTGGTTTATGATGAACAGATGATCACTCTGATTAGACAGAGCTGGTTTATGATGAACAGATGATCACTCTGATCAGACAGAGCTGGTTTATGATGAACAGATGATCACTCTGACCTTTAGTTTGGAGCCCTTGGACAGCGAGATGCTGAGAGCGTGCACAGATCACAGCTCATCTACCACAGAAGAAGAAACAGGGGGTTATTTAGAGTCCGAACATCAGTTTTTGGGCACTAACATTAGCCTGTTAGCCACTCTGCTATTTAAAAAAACATAAACATGCAAAGGTCTGAACATTTTATCTTTAAGAATATATTGAATATTCTCAGTTCAAACTCACCTCAAGGTCAAAGATCGTCTGTTTGCTGCAGTGTCCCCCGAGGCTGGGCGGAGTCAGCAGGCAGTCGATCCCGTAGGCGATGCCACCGTTAAAGAAGAGGTGTCTCTGAACGATCCGACACTTTCCGTCGTTGACAAACACTTCTCCCTGTTGCATGAAAACAACCGCGTCAACACAAGAACTCTTCTTCTATGGTTGTATTAATGTGTTCTTCCTGTTCTTACAATGGCGTCCATCCCTCCACAGCTGAAAGTCAGAGGTGAACCCTGCAGACTCCGAGCAGAGTCCAGGTAGATCAGACCTTCGGCGTACACCTGAGACCACAAAGAGACATAACAATGACTGTAAAGAGCGCACCCTGCTGGTTGGGAATTTAGTTTGTCCTCTGCAACTTTTATATGAAGAATGATTTCTCGATTTGGAGTCTCTGATCTGATCGGTCCTCATTTTTAAATCCATCAAACCTTTTTTTAATCTTCTGTCTATTTGGAAAAAGATGATTTTAAATAGTTTTTGTAGCTTTTAGTTATTTGTAGTTGTTCTGTGTCTGACCTTCCGGTTTTGCAGGATGTGGAACTTGAGGTACTCCAGCAGCTGAGCTCGGTTGTCTCTGTGAAACAGGAAGTCCTTCTGCTCCTGTGGCAGAGACGCCATGACGTCGTCTGAGGGCAGGAAGACGGTCAGCGGCTGGTACGCCCCGTCCTTCAGCAGGTCTGTCACACCAGAGTCCTGACACGTCACAGATCAAAACGAGTTGTAAGTGTAGGACACAGGGAGAGATCTGACAGAAGAATGACTTAACTTCCTCTGAATATTGGTCATATCAACATGGACGTCGCGTATCTGTCTCCTTCTGCTGTACAAAAGTGAAGCCAGAATCTCCCTGTAACAGGTGCTGACATGTTGACCTCATAAGGGAGCCTTACTCTAATCAAAACACACCTTAAACTTCCTGCCCCTGTTCTGATGGCCAATTGCATGCGACTGTGCCGATGACAGACGTTTCTAGTAGCCAATGAAATTCTCAAAACATTCTGCAAATCTACAATTCACTTAGCAGACGCTTTTATCCAAATGACGTACATCAGAGAGTAAGAACAACACAAGCAAGGATCTAGAAAAAGGGAACAATGTGAGTAAGAGCAAACGATCAGCTTTGAGTCTGATTGGACACACAGGTGCTGACAGGAAGTGACCAGAGGCAAAGCACAACATTGAGGGCAGTTCTTGAGAGCTCTAATCAGTATAGAAACCATCTTATAAGTCGTTGTTATCAAACAAAAACCATCGTCATTACCATCATCATCATCAATAATATGGAGACCATCATCATTAAGTTAGTAGGTATTCATGAAAGAGCTGGGTCTTTAGCTTTTTCTTAAAGGTGCAGAGGGACTCTGCAGATCAAAACATGGATATGCTGCTTCTATCTATATCACTCCTACTACTTACCTGCAGCAGTCTGTAGAACGTTCTGTAACCATGACGATCTGCCACGTCACTCAGGTTCATCTGAGATCATCAACCAGAAAAAGTTTCTTCAGACTCATTGATCGCTAATTTATTGACTGGAAATATTCTCTATAGACTTGTTCGCAGATGTGGACTCACAGGAACGTCCAAGTCTTTGAATGCGTCGAATTGGGGAGGATATAGAATCTTGTCGATCTCGTGGAAGATGCCGTTGGTGCTGAGGTCGTTGCTGTACGTCACGTTTGGCCTCGTTGACGAAGATTCTACCCTGAAAAAAACCCGACATACAAACGTGTACAAAGTCGATTCAGAAAACACTCAAATTATCAACCAACACAAGCGACCCAGGGATCAGAATGAAAAACACTGATTATCTTCCTGCTCTCTGATTGGTCACCTGGCTGGACCTGGTGGTCAGGACAAGTCCGGACAGAGTCGTCAGGTTTCGCGGTCGGCTCAGGTCGATGGGCAGTAGAGTGTGACACATGACGATGTGGCTGCGCATGACGGAGCCAAATTCGTCCAGGTGTTTTTCTATCCCCAGAAATTTAAACTACAAGTAAATAAACATCAATCAATAAAGGTCAGAGGTCAGGTACGAACAACAGGTTATTATTGGTCTAACAGGTGGCAGCCATGTTTTTAATCCTTAGCTATTCAGCATCTACCACAGTTAGCCTGTTAGCATCATCACAGGTTTCAGTCTGGATAAGGGTTTCCACGATATCTATACCAGTATAAACTATACCTGTTACCACGGCAATAAAAGTCCTAGACAACCCATTGTAGAAGGACTCATTCCTCTCCTCTCTCCGTCTTATTTGTCAGAAGTTTTGGTACTTCTCTCGATCATCAAAACAGGAGATTGTTTTGTTGTGAACATGCAGAAAAAGAGCGGAGGATTCAAACATGTCAGCTCACCTTGCCGCCATGTTTATCCTCTCTATAGGCTTCAGTTGTCGGAACAAACACGGTGAACGGGCCGCGACCTTTCAGAGAGATCTGAGTCACCTGAGAGATTTAAAGAGACAGTCAGTGAGAGTTCACCTGCAGGGGGCGACAAAGAGCGGCTACACTCACCATCAGACCCATGAAGAACTCTTTCAACTCCCTCCTCACGATCTCCTGCAGAGACACAAAACATCACATCATCACATTTTATCATCACATTACAAACATATTTATTTCAACATAAGGGGGCGGGGCCTGTTTCTGAAGCTCACCTTTTCCACAGTGCCTCTGCAGGTGAGTCCGTCTCCGACGTAGTTTTTGTGACAGGTGCAGGTACGAACACCTGGATCTGTCGTGTTACACCTGGCAAAAGTGTGACAGCCGCCGTTTTTCTGGAAACAAATCGCAGAAGTCAGATCAATTCATCAGGTATTGATAGATGATTAGGGATTATTGATACTGTCTGACACATTTACCTGACAGTTGTGTTTGATGGAGGTTCTGTAGGTACCCGAGCAGGTTAAAGTACTGCTGCAGGACTGACACCAGCCACTGTGTCTTTAAGAACTGTACCATCCTCACAAAACAAAATACCTGTAACACTTGTAGTACCTAGAACACCTGTAGTACCTAGAACACCTACAGTACCCAGAACACCTGTAGCACCTAGAACACCTGAAGTACCTAGAACACCTGCAGTACCCAGAACACCTGCAGCACCTAGAAAACCTGTAGGATCTAGAACACCTGTACTACCTAGAACACCTGTAGTACCTAGAACACCTGTTGTACCTAGAACACCTGTAGTACCTTGAACACCTGTAGTACCTTGAACACCTGTAGTACCTTGAACACCTGCAGCACCTAGAACACCTGTAGTACCTAGAACACCTGCAGTACCCAGAACACCTGTACTACCTAGAACACCTGCAGTACCAGAACACCTGTAGTACCTAGAACACCTGCAGTACCCAGAACACCTGTAGCACCTAGAACACCTGTAGTACCTACAACACCTGCAGTACCCAGAACACCTGCAGTACCTAGAAAACCTGTAGGATCTAGAACACCTGTACTACCTAGAACACCTGCAGTACCCAGAACACCTGTAGTACCTAGAAACCTGCAGTACCCAGAACACCTGTAGCACCTAGAACACCCCCTAGTACCTAGAACACCCGTAGTACCTAGAACACCAGTAGTACCTAGAACACCTGCAGTACCCAGAACACCTGTAGTACCTAGAACACCTGTACTACCTAGTACACCTGCAGTACCTAGAACACCTGCAGTACCCAGAACACCTGTAGAACCTAGAACACCTGTAGTACCTAGAACACCTGTAGTACCTAGAACACCTGCAGTACCCAGAACACCTATAGCACCTAGAACACCTGTAGTACCTAGAACACCTGCAGTACCCAGAACACCTATAGCACCTAGAACACCTGTAGTACCTAGAACACCTGCAGTACCCAGAACACCTATAGCACCTAGAACACCTGTAGTACCTAGAACACCTGTAGAAACTAGAACACCTGTAGTACCTAGAACACTTGTAGTACCTAGAACACCTGCAGTACCCAGAACACCTGTAGTACCTAGAACACCTGTAGTACCTAGAACACTTGTAGTACCTAGAACACCTGTACTAACTAGAACACCTGTAGTTCATGTAGGAACACCTGTAGTACATTATTGTGTGTTATTAGTAATGACAGTTGACACTTGGTTGTCATGGAGACAAACTCACCTTTCTGCACAGGTTGATCATCTTGCAGTCTTGACCGCCACCAGAGAAACCGTCTCTACAGGCACAGGAAGTCTGCGAGAGGATCACAACAATAAAAGCTTCACCGTCACACGATCGTGTTCACATTCAATAAAAGGAAAAAGAAAAGAGAAAAAAAACAAACAGGTTTTACTTTGTTTGGTCCAACGTGAATACACTCTGCGTTGGCATGGCAACCACTGTTCCTTCCAGACAGGGGTTGATTTCTGTGAGAGAAACAGAAAAGTCCTGCAGCACTTCAACACATCATGAAAACACGGACACTCTCTGTTTTTAAAAAAAATTATAAACAGGAACTCTTTCAACAAAATAATAAAACACCCCTCTGTGTGTTTTCACAGTGAAATTAATTTAAAAAAATACAAATATAAAAGAATAAGAACAGTGAACGTACCGACACACACAACCCGTCGCCTCGGTAACCACTGTTACACACACACTCTCTGAGGCCGGGCAAGGTCCTCTTACACACCGCGAAGAGACTGCAGCCCCCGTTACCCACTGCACACCGGTCTATGGCTACACACACACACACACACACACACACACACACACACACACACACACACACACACACACACACACACACATGCATGTGAATTTCTGCAGTTGTGAGATCAGGGGAGCAAAGAGCTCAGGTGTGTGTGTTTGCTACCTTGGCAGAAAGTTTCCATTTCCTTCAAATCCGGCGGCACATGAACACAACGTTCCGGACGGTCCCGTTAGACAGCTGACACACGAGGAGACACCATGAAAAGTTTAAAATATCAAAAACACTATAAAGAACACTATACAAATATCAACACTCACTAACATCTATAACACAATAATACTCATATGATGGCAGAGCTATAATAATATATTACTCACTTTGCACTGGAGTGACACTTCACATCTGACCCACACATCTCATCAGAGACAACTTCTGCAACGAGAATACACACACACACACACATCTCATCAGAGACAACTTCTGCAACGAGAATACACACACACACACATCTCATCAGAGACAACTTCTGCAACGAGAACACACACACACACACACATCTCATCAGAGACAATTCTGCAACGAGAACACACACACACACACATCTCATCAGAGACAACTTCTGCAACGAGAACACACACACACACACATCTCATCAGAGACAACTTCTGCAACGAGAACACACACACACACACATCTCATCAGAGACAACTTCTGCAACGAGAACACACACACACACACATCTCATCAGAGACAACTTCTGCAACGAGAACACACACACACACATATCTCATCAGAGACAACTTCTGCAACGAGAACACACACACACACACACATGTATCAGAGACAACTTCTGCAACGAGGAAAACACAGATTCACAGACAACATGGGGTTACAAAGATTTTAAAAGGCAATAAATATATTTAAATTTTCCGATAATGAAACAAAGTCGTCTTCTCTCATCACAGAGGACGCCTCTCCAACCAACATCACAGACACACGACCCGTCACCTTCAGCCCCTCGTTACAGCGGCCATGTTTACAACGACAGTCTGCAGGGAGGCGGGGGGGAGAGAGGGTTAGACGGGGGAAGAGAGGGCGAGACAGGCTCCTACAGGACAGCGTACCTTGGTCACAGTGGATGGAGTATTTCCCGCCCTCGCAGCTCTCACACCGCCCGTCCCATTGAATCCTTTGGAACAGCGGCACACTCCGGTCCCCGCCGTTGCCGTCCTCACAGCGTCCGTTACCGGAGCACGACTGACCCTTCGGCCCGGGACATCGGCTCGCAGTGCTCCCGAAAAACCCCCCGCAACAACTCCGCTCCTGAGATGGTAAGGTTTATTGTCACAGAATAGAAAACATCCGCCTCGTAATAAAATGTTAAAATATTAAACCATCTGACACGTCATAGTGAGTATGAAATACGGTAAATAAATGAATATCAAAGGATGTGACAGTTAAGGATAGAGTTACCATGTTGGCCATCAGACACATCGCTCTGCAGCCCGTGTTCAACAG